GAATAACAAACACGTTTATTTGTTAACACAATGCAAAACGGTTTTAATATTTAAACAAAAAAAAACGAAAATACGCACTTGTTTTTTTTTWAAAATTAACAAAATGTGTCGTAATATTAATATCACACTGGTTTAATATTAAAATATAATTTAAAATTATAAGTAATAGTTACATGACTAAATGCTTCAGCTAATACTGTGTCTCCAATCACTAAGTCCCCGCGTGTACGTTATGTTCATTAGTAAAGGTAAGTTTTAAACACAAGTTTATAGACACGGCCATTTAAGATCGAAAATTTTCCCAACAGGAAGAAGACAGAGTTATTCACTCAGTCGCTTGTTATTGTTGTGCAGTGTTGGTGTTCAGAGTTCAGACGGCCTGCTGCAGCTTGCTATTTGCGAGTTGCGACGCAATTTCTTGACGTCACGATCAGCATCAAGTAAAAAGAGAAAGCCAACAGCTGATTCGCCGTATGCTTTTCATCCATGATTATTCGCGTACGCGGTCACACTGATGATGGTTCGACCTGATTCACTCTTGCCAGTAAGTTGCCAGTTTGCCACAGAAATATAGAATAATAGAATAGAAAGAAATTAGAAATTAGAATATCTGTGAACTCTACTGTGGTCCACGGCAATAGATAATTATCTATAGCCGTGCTGTGGTCCTGTGTCCCTGTGAACTGTGACTCTGCGAGTTGAGTTGTGAGCACTGAGCTTGCACTTCTTAACTCTTGCYCTTCTTGCCTCTTGGGCTGCCTAGTGACGGCTCTTAGCTTCTTGCACTCAAAATAGATTTATTTTGTTATGACTAGGGCTCGGGATTTCTAGGAGTTTGCATGTTTTTAAATAATCATTAAAAACATAGCTAAGTAATATAGAAATTTGTTTCATAGCAATACAAATTTATATTTAAAATTTATAGTTCCATATTTTGCATATATGACCATTTTTCATTTTATAAGTGCATATTTAACAATTTATTTATATAAAGTAAGACGTTTTTAATTTTTATAAAAAAAAACCTATTTTTAAATAGATCTCATGCGCCGGATGTAAATATTTTAAAATTAGTGTTTGTGTTTTTGTGTTTTTATCGTCGATAATACTATTTGTATGGTTACTTATCGGTACACTAGAAAAATGTTGGATTAGATCAAATGCAAAAAGGTATTGAATATTTTAAATAGACAAAATAATTTATCAGTGGATTGCGTGCAGATATTAGCAGTATTGACCTACCATTTTCTTAGTTTGCGCCAATAAGTTCCGTATACGTGGAATGTTCCTTTTCTAAGTATAAAAATATTTTGCCTGATTACAGATGGTCATTCAAATTTATCAACTTAGAAAAATATTTTATAGTCCAATGAAATGCTCAAGGTAATTATTGCTAAAAATATAAAAAAATGTATTCGATTTACTTTTTGTTTTTAATTTTTCAACATGAGATGAAAACAAATCTGAAAAAAGAAAATAATTATCTCAGATTATCATATCTGTTATAATATCTAAAAATAGTATTATTAGTATTAATGTATTATTATTTATTAATTTTTACTAACTTATTTTTTTATGTAAATAAGTATTATTTATTAGTTTATTACAAAATAATATAATTTTTTAAAATGCATATTTTAATAACATATTTATTGATTCTTTAGGGCATAAATGCATGCATATTTTAAGGTTTTAAGTGCATGAAGTTCCTAGCCCTATAGTCATGAGTCTCATGACCTAACTTATGTATGACGATTTCACTTAACACATTGGCATAGCGTTTTCAATTTTAAGTTCTGTTTATTGTTTAATTYAAACTTTGGAGTTTAGTTATAAACGTTTCAGTACATTCTTATTCAGTGTCGGCCTGGTACTTAATGGGCCCCGGATGCATTTCTTCAGAAGGGCCCCCAAACATGTTATTAAATAAAAATGATAAAAAAATGCTTATTAGACATTAGTAGTGAAATATTATATTTTTATATAGTAATATCGGGGCCCCTCGACACAAATACGGCCGGGGGCCCCGGATGCGTTCGCGACACTGTTCTTATTATATAATTTATACGCTCAATAATTATATTTCAAGTCGTTGTAAATTACTTTTAAAGTTCTAGGTATTTGCATCATCAGTTTTTGTCCCTAAGTGACGTCTGATGATASATTTTCATAAACTTAGAAATAAAATAAAATGTAATCATTAATAATAATATTATATTATTACAATATTACCGATATAGCTTCAATAACTATTTGTCAGGTGATTTAGCTATACATATTGATAGTTATTATTATTTTTGTATTTATTTTTTTATTATTATTATTAGGCATTCCTAGCTACTTGCTATAATAGGTACTTATCTAAGCCTAATGATATCAACAAATTTTTACGGTTTTTTTTTTTAACAATTTTTCTTTCATACATAATTGCGATATAATAATTAAATATTAAATATTAAGTAGTAGGTTTAAGCTAGTAATTTTCTGGCATGATGCATTCGATATTGCGGTAATTAGTGGTAGATGTTATTTTCTGCAGTCGTGGCCCATGGGGTCTTCCTCTCTTCAGACGACGAAWTTTTGGAGGACTTTCGTGTAAGTTATAGTGAGAGAAAGAATCTGTTTGCTATATCGTTTATGTGCTCATCGATAGTAGGGATTTTCAAGTCATTAGGCAAGGCTTTGTTACGTACAATCCAGGGGGCAGGTAGCATCTGTTATTATGCGGAGTATTTTGTTTTGATAACTAAAATTTTTTGTATTTCTAGAATTAGTAAGAAACTGAATGTTTTTTTTTAGTAATTTATATACTATTTTTATACTTAAATACTTAAATGATAATTAATGTAACAGATTAAAAAGCCTTGGAAGTAACAAAATTATATAATTTTGATTCACTTATTTATAAAAAAAAAATAATAATTATAAAAATTTACTGAAATCCTTAGAAATACTTGAAGTACAAAGATGTGCAATAAATCAAATATTTAAAGACTTTTGCAGTGTTAAAATAATACTTTTCAGAAAATCATTCTTAAGCATTAAAAAAAATTCTTATATATAAGAATAATATATTATATATATGTATAAATAAGACGTGAATCGTTGCATTAAAATCGTCAATATTCATACGTTGTCAGATATTGATTGGTCGATGTATGGAACCAATAACAAAACAGAAMATTAAGCATTAAAACAATTAGGTATATCGTATATGATATTAATTTACAACAAAAAAGTTTCTGATAAACAAGAAACACAGATAACCAGTACATTCTGTACAACGTACAACTTCAGAAATRGAAAAACCTGAAACGGCTGAAACATTTCATAAACGTTGGACGTTGGACAATTGAACTATATAGTTGAAGAACAATATTGAGTATTGAAGAACTTTTAACTGAATATCCACCAAAAATAAATGAAATTAACAGATAACTATAGAAAAATAACTGACGCTTTACGTAAAAGAAATTTTAGACAAGTATGTGTACAGTTCAAAAGAATAATATGAAAATGAAAAAGTCTAAGTACGCCACTGTCTGTGAAGAGAAACATCGGCCATTACTCTCAATACGATAAATGCTCATTACGAATAAAGGTAAATCTTGATTCGAGGTGCTCACCTTTCACCTATAATATGCATTGTCTCTAGATCAGTAGATCATGTACATATACATATATATATAATTGCGGAAAAAAGATCCCCAACCCTAGAAAAAAAA